CCTCTTGTTGGGTTAATGTGATTCATTAAACAATTATCTGTACAATTTTCCATTTTTTTTATTCTGTCATAATTTAGACTGAAATAGTCCTGATGTCCACTACAGTGGACATGCTGTAAAATTTTAATAAAAACATATAAGAAAAAAAATGCTAAGGTGTTCATTTCGGCCTAAACAGATAGGAAATCACAAAAAAACAGAAATTGGAAGACACTTTTTTTCTTCGGTTCTCAGGAGGATATTTGTCATTTTTACCTGATTGAGAAGGTAGATGATCTTGGTGAGGATATGGAGACATCTTCTTGGATTGATGGGGGTCTCATTGAAGATCCGTGCCTGTTGATGAAAACACACCACCATGGATTGGAACCACTATCTCCTGGTTAAGGATAAAAGTCCAGAGCTTATGCTCGAAATTACCTCTTGCAAAACTGCACTCTTCTCCAAGTGCTGGAAAGGGTTTGACCCACTTCCTAAGAGACAAAATAAATTAATTATAAGAAGGATAGGGTATTACTTGTTACTCGAATACCAGTAGAAAAAAAAGGCATATTGTGAGAATTAAATACATATAGCTAGCTATAGCAGCTAAGTGACAGGATAAGATTATTCAGACAACGCTAGCGTGCACAGCTAATGCAATGACATAACCGTAAACATGCTAAAACATTATTCGGAATTAAGTGTCACCACAAACAGTGAAATGTAAACTCGATAAAGCTGCAATACTGGTCTGTTTTTGCGCTTTAGGTCAGAATATGTCTACTTAAACCATTATAGAGGGTCGGGTTGGTTAACTTTAGCTAGCAAGCTAACAGACGAGCACTTAGCATTTCTGTAACGTGTTTCAATCGTAAAACTTATGCCTTCCTATTCCTATTTAAATACTTACCAGACTCTTCGTCCTTCTTATCAAATTTTTTAATCATTTTAACTGGAGATGACGGACGAAGGCAGCAAATGCTCTCAGCCTTGGAAATACCAGGAGCTACTTCCACGTAGCCAAAAGCAGACTGGCTTCCTGTTGGGGGGCGTCCACGTCGACGGAAATGACGTCATAGCAACCCAACATTTAAAACAGCAGAGGACGCTGTTTTTTTTAACTACTATAAAAAGCTTCGAATGCGGTGTAATTGAAGTTGTAATTTTAACTATATTTTTGTTTTGTAGTTGTTTAACCAAAATAAATCAATAAAGTCAAGGGAGTTCCAAATCTTGCTTTTGGGTCAACGTTTGCTCTTCATGTGACATGCGTGTTATCTGTAAAAATCACAGAAGCTACTAATAGGATTCAAGCCATTCAGGCACTGATATAATGTTAATCATAGAGATAATAAAAATATTGAGTATACCTCAGGTTTTTTATTTATCCAGATCTAGAGTGCAGTTGCTCAAAATGACCACAGGATGTCAGCATTTCTCAGCATCGTGATTTGAGAGGGTGTACAATTTAAAACCTAAACAGAAACGCAGTTTTATATTTTATCCAAGCAGTTGGAAATATTAACCGATAGCAAATTTTATAATTCAATTAAAATGTTATAACATTAAATGTAGGTAATTTTTTAAAGACCATTGTTATTTTTTAATATAAAGAATTGAGAACTGGAGCTTTTTCCGAATGTACCTTTTACCGCCACCTAGTGGCCAACATTTAAAACGTCATTATTTATACAAACTCCTTCAAACAAATTAAGGAAAATCTGTATTATCATTTATTTTATTATTTTAAGACAGAGTAATGCAGATTTACTGATACCAAAACAGCGAAGCTATAGTTTTATAGAAAGTAAAGTCCTATTTTCCGATAATTTATGATGTAAAGCACGTTGAACTGCCTTGTTGCCGAAATGTGCTATACAAATCAACTTGACTGACTGAACCCATCCATCGTCCATAGCTTATTCTTGCAAGGTCACGGGGAATAGGGCAAAATGTGGGGTAAAGCCTGGACAGGTCGCTAGTCCATCACAAGGCAGCAGAGAAACACAAAGGACAAGTGATCACATGTCAGCATAGTTTTAGAGTAATCGATGAACCTAATAGTCATGTTTTGGGACAGTGGGAAAATATATTATGTATCTCATCGTTTAATATTGTATGGAAAGAGGCAGTTGTGTGTAGTTACATCTGCTTTATTTCAGGAAAAATAATCCTTTATTGGAAAGTAGAAAAATAAGAGACATCTGATGACAACATACATTCACATGCATTTGCATTTTACTGTATTCATGATCTCTGCAGATGATTTGTACAGTATTTTATTGTTAGCGAGTTGTTTGTGCCACTGTTTCGTGGGAAATTTGAGTAAAGGAAAATATTACACATAAAAAACAAAACAAAAAAAAAACAGCAACTGCATTTATGCTCGCCCTAACCAAATCTAAATATGGGCAAAATCCTACATATCTCAATATTTTTTCTAACTTACTTTGCAGTGTACAAAGCTAAAAAGAAACAAAAAACAATCGATAGATTATCGTTTTCTGGAAATAAGACCCCGTATATCCAAGCTAATCACGTGACTTTACTCATATGGCAACATATAAAATAGTGCTTCTCAACTGCAAAACTAAGAATTTTTCATGTTTATCCTATAAGATTAAAATAAAAGAAATATTTAAAATCAAAAGTAATTTAGGCCAATTAAGCGTCATCATAAGGAAAATAAAAAAATACTTCAGTCTATATCAAATGTTCACTTTGATGTATTTTAAAACTAAATTTAGTCATCTTTAGCGCCGTTCCATCCAGTTAGGTCAAATATCAGGTTTCTCGCTGTGCTTTGATTTGTACAACAAAGACGATGTTAATTCACGAACATTGAAATCACCGCGGTTATGACATGGTTTCACCTGTTAGCGTGGATATTTTTAATGTTCCCCTAGAGAAACAAGTTGTTTATTCGAGGAAACAAAAAGTTATTGATTACATTTAGTCATTGCTCTCTGCCGAGTCAAAGTTTCTCCGTGTTTTCTCATTTCCTCCGCCCAATCTGCGCCAGGAGTCGCGCGTTCTCCGCCGCTTTTGCGCGCAGGTTCTTGGCTTTGGCCACGTCAAAGAGGACATTCATGATGTTGGTTGGGACATCCAGGGACAGGGTCAGTCTGCTCCTCCGGTCCCCTTTGATGTTGTTGCGGAGCATCTGCCCTCTGAGCTTCGTCCGGCTCATGAAGCGGTAGTTTGCGGGACTTGAAGTCCTTTTTTCCCGACTGGACTCTGCAGAGGACGAGGAGGTGGATGAGGAGAGATAGTCCGCGGACTGCAGGAGGGAAGCCCAGGCATCCACTGGGGAGTAGCCCGGCTCGCTCTCCTCACTTTGAACCCCCAGAGCCATGTGGTCGTTGCACAGAAGGTCGGAGCCGCTCTGGTAGAGGCGCAGGCACAGGCTGGAGGTCGGTGCGCACAGGACGGAGAGCAGCAGCAGAGTCTTCAGGGACGACAGCATGCTGTGTCCTCTGGGACGAAAAGAAGAAGAAAAAAGAAGCCTAGAGGATGGAAATTAGTTAAAGCTAATATTTCTCTACTTCAAAATAGTATATAAGACACTTTATAAAGAGAAACAACCCAATGTTTTCATTTTGGTGCGAACAGTATTTGAAATACAGTGTTTTGTTTTAAGTTAACCCCAATCTGATGAAGAGAAATGGGTCCCCAACACAAATGCATGCTAAAAAACAAACATGTATTTACCTCTCTTGTCCTATGATAGAGAATACTCTTTTGGTTTGGAACCAGCCTGGAAAGAGAAGCCAACAACCAGAAATCTTCCAGCCAATTTCTGAATTTCAAAACCCCGACAAACTATCAGTGTTTGGAGATCAACAGTGCGCACAGTCTGTCTGCCCGGCAGAGTGTCTTCCTTGTCCATTCCATTTAGTAGAATACTTCAAACTGCAGCCCTACGCCAGCAACAACGTCATTCCTTTGACATTTTGGTTTTTCTCCGAGCCGTCCCATTGGTCGTCATGCAGTGATGTAGTGGTTGAGGGGAAAAACATAAATAAATAAAAAAAGTTGCAATCTCTTTTTATGGACAGCCGTCATCACGACTTAGAAAACCCGACTTTGAAACGAGAAAGCTTTAAACCCGTCAGCACCACGGAGAGCTCCCTTTGAGCCAAAATGTCTTACGTTACAGCAACAGATTTCGATGGATTTTACTATAAACTTATGTAAGAGGAACTAGTGAGTACTTTTTAAATATATGAAGAAGTATACGATTTTCAAACTGTGGTATGCTTTCTATTCATCTCCTTTTAGTTTCTAGGATTGCTGGGCAAACAGAGGTGGTTTATTGTCCAAGAAGAGAACAACTCTGAACTGGTTTAAGGCAGAGTTACAATGGAATGGCGTAGAGCAGAGGATACTTAGGAGCTACAATTACAGTTTTGTTGATGCAACTGCAGGAAAAAGTGTTTGTCCAAAGAACTGCACAAGTGGGACAGAAAGCAAATACATGTCAAACTTTTCACACACACATATACACACACATATATATATATACATTTATATATAGACACACACACACAGTACAGACCAAACATTTGGACACACCTACTCATTCAATGAGTTTCCTTTATTTTCATGACTATTGACATTGTAGATTCACACTGAAGGCATCAAAACTATGAATTAATACATGTGAAAATATGTACCAAACAAAAAAGTGTAAAACAACTGAAAATACGCCGTATATTCTAGTTTCTTCAAAGTAGCAACCTTTTGCTGTGATTACTGCTTTGCACACACACTGCATTCTCTTGATAAGTTTCAAGAGGTAGTCACCTGAAATGGTTTTCACTTCACAGGTGTGCCCTGTCAGGTTAATAAGTGGGATTTCTTGCCTTATAAATGGGGTTGGGACCATCAGTTGTGTTGTGCAGAAGTCAGGTGGACACACAGCTGATAGTCCTACTGAATAGAGCGTTAGAATTTGTATTATGGCAAGACAAAAGCAGCTAAGTAAAGAAAAACGAGTGGCCATCATTACTTTAAGAAATGAAGGTCAGTCAGTCCGAAAAATTGGGAAAACTTTGAAAGTGTCCCCAAGTGCAGTCGCAAAAACCATCAAGCGCTACAAAGAAACTGGCTCACATGAGGAGCGCCCCAGGAAAGGAAGACCAAGAGTCACCTCTGCTGCGGAGGATAAATTCATTCAAGTCACCAGCCTCTGAAATTGCAGGTTAACAGCAGCTCAGATTAGAGACCAAGTCAATGCCACACAGAGTTCTAGCAGAAGACACATCTCTGCAACAACTGTTAAGAGGAGACTGTGTGAATCAGGCCTTCATGGTAGAATAGCTACTAGGAAACCACTGCTAAGGACAGGCAACAAGCAGAAGAGACTTATTTGGGCTAAAGAACATAAGGAATGGACATTAGACCAGTGGAAATCTGCTTTGGTCTGATGAGTCCAAATTTGAGATCTTTGGTTCCAACCACCGTGTCTTTGTGCGACACAGAAAAGGAGAACAGATGGACTCTACATGCCTGGTTCCCACCGTGAAGCATGAAGGACGAGGTGTGATGGTGTGGGGGTGCTTTGCTGGTGACACTGTTGGGGATTTATTCAAAATTGAAGGCATACTGAACCAGCATGGCTACCACAGCATCTTGCAGCGGCATGCTATTCCACCTGGTTTGCGTTTAGTTGGACCATCATTTATTTTTCAACAGGGCAACGACCCCAAACACACCTCCAGGCTGTGTAAGGGCTATTTGACCAAAGAGAGTGATGGGGTGCTGCGCCAGATGACCTGGCCTCCACAGTCACCGGACCTGAACCTAATCGAGATGGTTTGGGGTGAGCTGGACAGCAGAGTGAAGGCAAAAGGGCCAACAAGTGCTAAGAATCTCTGGGAACTCCTTCAAGACTGTTGGAAGACCATTTCAGGTGACTGAAGCTCATCAAGAGAATGCAAAGAGTGTGCGAAGCAGTAATCATAGCAAAAGGTGGCGACTTTGAAGAACCTAGAATATAAGACATATTTTCAGTTGTTTCACACATTTTTGTTAAGTATATAATTTCACATGTGTTAATTTATATATTTTTTTTTTCTTAAAAGACATTTAAAACAATTATGCTCTGCTATGTAAAGTTCCAACAGAAAACATTAAAGCTATTCATTATAAACAGGTGTTCAAAGTTAATTCAGGTATGACAACTCTTTATATCGCTCAAGTTGAGAAGAAAGACCATTTTCTTAACCAATTTGATTATAAATCCTTATGGCAAGGACTAAGGTCTTATTTTTTTTTTTGTTTGTTTTTATTTTACCAAGAGTTAATTTATGAATTAAAACTCTAGGGATTCCCACATAAAAGCTCAGGCTACAAACAAATGCAAAAAGGCATTAAGATGTGTTTATCGCATCGCAGAAACAGCAATGTAATAAAATGTTTTTTTTGTAAACAGATGGAGGTGTGGCACTGTGAATGCAAGGCATAAAAAGTCATAATGTGGGTAATGTAATTGCAAGAACTGAACAAAATGAGGAGTTAGTCTCAAAAAAGTAAGTCAAAACAAAAATAACTGTTGGGGAGAAAAAGAAAGAAAAAATAATTTTTTTCATTGTCAAATTGTAGTTTGAAGAGAATTATACACTAAACTACAAGATGGCAAAACAAACATAACAGAACCAATGATAGCAAAGACTGAATAAAAGCCATTCTTTTTATTAACTTAATTTATTTTCAATCATAAGAACTGAAGCATTCACAGCTCGATTACACACTGTGACTGAAGACTTAAGTGTCCTCCCACTTCCCCTTCCCTGCAGTTGATCTCTAAAATTGACTTGCATGGCCCTCTTCAGTATTACATCTTCTGCATTACAGTTATAAAAGATACTTTGCAAGTTCTTGTACAAGATCTATTATTTTTAACCATTTTTATGACAAAAGTGTTATTTGGGATGATTCATGCAAATCCGTCAGTTATATGAGAAATGTCTGATTGTTCTACCGTTGAATCGTTTCCCCGTTTATCTCGGTGCAATTAAATTACAGTGAGATAGTAAAAATATGAAACAAATCTGTCAGGAGGTTCATAATTGTTCACCAGCCTCACCCAACCCCAAAGAAAAGCTCCACCCACCTCAACATTTGGTCAACTCCCAGAACACCAGACATCCCTGCTTTACAGATCTAAAGCTACATTTCTTTCCTCTTCAGAGTTATGTTTGACCTTGCATTTGTCAGTCATTTAACATCCCAATGACGAGTCAACATTTGTGTATGCAATGTGGCAAAATGTGAAAAAGTTTAAGTGTACCTCTGCCAGGCACTGCATGTTGGATATTTGCAAAGCATTTTGGAGAGTGGGAGTAGATCACGGGGGCAGAATCGTGACCAACACGAAGGAAGCCCGAGGGTGATTGCTCATGTAAGCATTTTCTGATAGCTTGGTCATGTTTTCTACTTTTAAAATCAATCTAAGACCCATCCAATCAGACATCTTGCAGAAACAGTGTCAGAAGAGTTAAAATAATGTCTCAACTTTCCAATCTCCGCCTTCCCACCGTGGTTTAATGTGCCTTTTTAAAAAGGAGGGAAAAAGTCCCAGTTAATGTGCGCCAGCCCTATATGAGCGCCCACACATTGGAATCCCCTGCCACAGCCGAGACTGTATGATGTAGATTGGTTGGGCCCCTGTTGGCCTCTCATCTGGCTCCCAGCCCGGCCCACTACACCCCCCTACCAAACAGACATATGTGGTGATGACAGAGACAGCAGGAAATCAGCCACCGGCTTCGTATTTTTGCAGACTGCGTCATGTAGGGCTCGAGAAAGGTGACCGCGATCTGCAGTAATGAGGTGAAAGCGGAATCAGGTGTAGTAAAAATCACACACATAAAAACAGTTTTATTTTTTTATCAGTAGCATTAATTAGATTCACATAAAAAAAAAAAAAATACTCAATCGACGTCAGTTTCACCAATAAAACAAATACAGGAAAAAGTACAGGCTCTAGCATACTGTTGTTCACATTTCACTTCTGTCCACTGGTAAAAGTCCAGAAATCAAACTGCTTTCACAAAAAGAAAAAAAAAATCTATAAATAAAAGAAATACAGAAAACAAAAACAGTGTATCTTCAGTAACACCACACTTATGGACAGGAACCGCGCCAAAGCTGAATTTTCGTCACTGCATCAGCTGTCTGAAGGTAGGTCCTCCGTCAGAGCTGACCGAGTTTCTGTAACTCCGCTCTTTGTTCCACATAGACTCTCACAGTCTTGTTTAGATGTGAATCGGTTTTGGTTGCCACCACAGCCGCCGTATACAAAAGGCCTGCATTCCCCCGATTGGCCGTGGAAATACCAGACCAGAGCGTATTCCGAACAAGCTCCTTCTGACATTGGTAGCAAACAGTGATCTGTCACTGAAAGCACAAGTGAAGTAAAGAATAATCATTTTGAGGAGAAAAATGTGGGACTTGCCATATAGGTACATTTAAACATTTAACCGATTTACATACTCCATTTGGATTTATTTTTATATTTAAACACTCGCAGACACACAGAAAGAAAGTGTAGCGGGGGAGGAAGGAGAAAATGAAGACACAAGGAAGAAAGGAAACAAAGTTGGGGCAGAGAGTGAAGTCTGGATATGGAAACATTTTTCTAAATTTTTCTTCAGCAGCTAAGAGAATAAGACTATAAGCTCTGAAGACCAGCTCTATCATGAACAAGTAGTGGAAGAATTCAGAATAAAACCACATTGGATGACCCTCATGCAATATGTTCATTAGTGAGAGATCTTTTATTGACAGGCTACTGGATTTTAAACAGACAAAGGGACATCAACCCCACCAACAACCTTTAGACAAGTCTTTGCACAGGTTTACATGTAAACATACAAGAGCACATTTTTTAGGGTTTCACAAATTTCAGTAGTTGGGGAATGCAAGTTCTTAGAGAGTCAAGATGTGAAAAATATTTTCCAATAGTGCCAAATTAGAAACCAACTTCAGCATCATGTACAGTAATTGTTGTTTCACATACAATCCCAGGTAAAAATTTCAAATTGTGTCATTATATAAAAAAAAAGATAAGCAAATTGGAAGAAGTCAATTAAAAACCTCATTGCACACCTACTGCTTTTATAATGAACATAAGAATGAGACCATAAAGCAAATGATTGTTGTAGCTATGTAGGTTATTAAAATGTGTTAATTTTTATTCTGTTGAATGAATTTTCACATCGCACCCCATGACATGTTCTCTATTTGTCGCTGTATTTACTTAAAGCAAAGAGCCAACAAGTAGAAAATTATTTTTTAGGTTCAGATACTTAATAGCACACATACATTAAAGCATAAACTGTTTCAGCTCTTTTTTATGTATGAAAAAAGGTTAAAGTAAAAAAAAAAAAAAAAGAAAGACTGAGCAAATAATCAAAGGAATTGGCTGAAACAGGAAGAAAATTGGAAGTCTATGCCACTCACCATCATCCTTAGATCCAGACACTCGTCTTGTCTTCCTCTCTCTCGACTTCACAGCCCATCCCTCGTGAGAATCTAAAGACAGAAATGCGTCTAATCAGAAGCTGAACATTGCGCTGAACTCAGCCATCAAAGACGAACACATAGCCACTCTCTCTGGACCAGCACCTAATGAGCGCCGGCGGCATTTTGGACTCATTTGAATGCCGTATGAGGGTGTCGTGGAGCGTCCTTTCATTCATTTTTCAACATTGTTATGCAAACTTTAAACTTAAAGTTCTGGGGGAATCCACAGCTAATATTTAGGTTTTTGAAGAAACCTTCAAAAATGACAAACATTTAATTTTTTTTTTTTTTTTTTTTTTTTTTTAAACGGTGGGAGATGGAGTTTGTAGTACTGAAAAGAACAAAACAAATTTACTAACTGTATTCGGGAAATGTAAATTAAGACTTCAAAATTAATTGTTTGGTGGTCCCAATAAAATTCAACTAGATTACTGAGCAAAAAGTACATTAACATCAATGTAGTAGTGAATAACTCTAGGTTGGGAGGAAAATTGTGCATTGTTGTTGTTTTTCTTTTTTTTTTTAAATTGCAAATAAAAATCTGCAAAACTTGATGCACATTTGTGTTTTGGTCACTCAGAGTGAATGCTTTGCAGAACAACCTGTTGCTGTGGAAAAGGTAAACATCTTTTGAGGTCCGTTTCTCCTTTACTCTTCTACAGACCAACATTTTTTCCCCCCCAATCGCTCATGAAGCAGTCTAACATGAAACTGCTTTGATCTACACAATGTCTTTGTAGTACTGGCTCGTATGTTCTGGATTTAGCCTCTAGCACCCTTTAAAAAAAAAAATAAATTGAAGTGAGAGAACAACAAAAAATTACCGGTCAAAAAAAAAAACTGCACCGATTTAATTTTGCACTGGATTATTTTAAACCCTTCAATTGCGGCAGTCGGGTAGGCGAGTCTTGGATCAGATTTTTGCCCGAGGGTGGATTTTTCAAAGTGCAAACATCAAAATTTATGCAAGAGAAACCCAACTGAGGTGATTTGATTGCCGTACCATTAGACATGTTACCTTATCAGTGGTAAAGCAAGAACAAAGTGCAGATCCTGGTTAAAAACAATAGTTATGTAATTTCATGTATAATTTCATAATTACCATGGAATGGAAATATTGGTCACATGAATAACATGTTAAATATACATTCATGTGAATTCATAGTCATGTTAGTGCATATTGATTTTTTTTTTTTTTTTTTTACCTGAAGCTAGAATTACAAATAAAGCAGGAACTGATTTCTGCCTGTGGATGTTTTCTCATTAATTGGCTTCATGGAGTGTGACTTCATAATAAAAAGTGTAATTTATATTTCTGAAACACATGTCACGCACATGATGCATTTTCCATTTTTAAGTCGAACTACGCTCAAGTACTTCACGTTATCAGAACCAGTCAGAGCGCACTAATGATACCATTTGCTTGAAAATCTCCTCCACCGTTAAAAAAAAAAGGAACCACAGACAGGACATTTTAAACATCCACCACACAGCTGTTCCACATAAGTTTGAGTTGTGTGCTCATTTAGTCCCACTTTTGGTCACACTGTAGCTGAGCAATCTGTGAGCTTGGCCAGAGGGTTCAAATCTGCTGACATTTGTGTTGCAGTTTTTTTTTTTTTCTTACCAGTGTGATTTCGTGAGCTCCTGGCTTCTTCCAGATTCAGTGGAAGAGTACTTGGGATTTCTTCCATGCTGCTGCTGGATTCTTGTTTTTGAAAGTCGTGTCTCGTCCTTTCTTTGCGACGTTCGGCTACAGTGGAGATGGTTATTGCTAAATCTTTGGGCTTATTGGTAGTTTCGCCACCAGTTACCACGAACGACGCGTCCGGGTCCACAGACTTTACCATAAACTTGTACTCCAGCCCTGAAAAAAACAAAACAAAAAAGTGACACAATCAAGCAACAGAACATTTTTAATCCTGAACATCTCTTGGGTAGAAAAACTGTGGTGTGAAAACATAAAAGTTGACAAGAAAATGTCGCGGTTGTCTTGTGGGTGAACAGATTTTTTTTTTTTTGGGGGGGGGGGGGGGGTCCCTCTTAATTAGAAGTGGAGTTTTGGTAATGGCTTTTATGTTTATAGGCTCATGTTGTGTGTT